GTGCCCTATCATGTGGTCTATCTTTGAAAATGTTCTATGTACATTTGAAAAGGATGTGTATTTTGCTTCTTTGGGATGAAGGGCTCTCTATATATTTCAGTTAAGTCCATTTCATCTAGGATATTGTACAATGCCACAATATCTTTGTTGCTATTTTCTTTGGAAGATCTATCCATTTTCACAGTGAGGTGTTGAAATCCCCTACTATATTTGTGTTGCTGTCGATATCTTTCTTCAAGTACTCCAAAATTTTTTTATGTATTTGGGTGCTCCCATGTTCGGTGCAATATGTATTCACAATGTTTATGTCTTCTTGTTGGATTCTTCCCTTGATTATTATGCAGTGACCTTCTGGGCCTTTTATTGGAGTATATTTTGCCTGATATGACTACCCTAGCTCTTTTTTTTCCTGTCCAATTGCTTGGAATATTTATTTCCAGCTCTTCACTTTCAGTCTGTGTAGATCTTTTGTTCTGAGGTGGGTCTCTTATAGGCAGCATATGTGTGGGTCATGCTTTCTTATCCATTCAGCTATTCTATGCCTGTTGATTGAAGCATTTGATCTATTTACATCTAAGGTTATTATTGATAGGTAGTTATTCATTGCCATTTTACTTCCTATACCTGCATTCTTCTCTCTCTCTCCCTCTTTCCTTTTCTTAAAGCAGTCCCTTTAGCATCTCTTAGAGAGCTGGTTTGAATGAGGTGCATTCTTTGCCTTCTTTTGTCCGGGAAACTCCTTGTTTGGCCTTCAATTTTAATTGAGAGCCTTTCTGAATAGAGTAGTCTTTGTTGAAGGCCTTCATTTTCCATTACTTGCTCTCACATTACTTGGAATATTTCTTGCCAATCTCTTCTGGCTTGGAGCATTCCATTGAGAAGTCAGCTGCTGGCTTTATCAGGGCTCCATTATATGTTACTTTCTGTTTCTCCCTTGCTGCCTTTAAGATTCTCTTTTTGTCTTGGAGTTTTGCCATTTTAATTATGATGTGTTTCGAAGTGATCTTCTTTGGGTGCTTCCTGATTAGGACTCTCTGTGTTTCCTGGATTTGTATGACTTTTTCTTTCATCAGTTAGGGAAGTTTTCCGTCATTACTTTTTCAAACAGTTTTTCCATTTCTTGCTCTTCTTCTTCTCCTTCTGGTATCCCTATTATATGGGTATTATTATGTTTCATGTTGTCCTGCAGTTCTCTTAACACCTCTTCATTCTTTCTGAGTCTCTTTTCCTTCTCTTACTCTTTCTGGGAGTTTTTTATACCTTGTCCTCCGGCTTGCTGATTTGATCCTCTGCTTCATCCAGCCTGATTTTGATTTCTTCTACTGTGTTCTTCAGTTCAGAAAGTGTATTATTCATTACCTCTTGGCCCTTGTTGATAGTTTCTATTTCCTTTTTCATGCTGATACAGTTTGCAGTGATTTTATCATAGTTTTCCTGTAGTTTTTGGTAATTATCAGAGAGCACATTGAGCTTCCTAAAAACCATTGCTTTGAACTCAATATCTGATAGTTGACTTGCCTCTATTTCATTTAGCATTCTCTCTAAAGATTCTTCCTTTCCTTTCATTTTTTTGGTCTTCCCATTGTTTGTGGGACTCTTCTTGTTAGCTTCTATTTCTTAAATTAATCTTTCCTGACTCCCTGGGTTTGTGGTGTGAACTTCTATGGTGGGAGACTTGTGATATTCAGTGGTGCAGTCTCCTTGATCTCCTGAAGCTGCTGCTCTTGGGATGTCATTTATGTTGGCTCTCTGGGTGTATTTGGGTTTTGACTGTTGTTGGAGCTTGCTTTGGTGAGTTCTTCCCTTCAGCTGGTTGACTGAGGGTCACTCTACATACCATGTCTGGTATTCTGTTGTGCAGATGCAGACGGGTTGTTTTGAAACTGGTTCTTCTGTTGGTCCAAGGTAATGAAGCTACTCTCTTGCTATTGTTTAGTTGTTTGTTCTGGGTTTTTTCTCCACCATTTAGTTGTAATTCCAGATTGGTCTTGGGTGGAGGTTAGTGTGGCTTCCACTCATTCCTCCACTCTCTTCCTTTATTATCTGTTGGTGGTCCCTTTGTTGGTGGTCTCTCTCTTCCAGCAGGTATATTGGTGTTCACAGTTCCCACCTACTCTTTTATGTGACCAGTTGTAAGGGGAAGAAAAAATGGATTATGACAGTGGAATTATATTCTACGAGATTTAAAGTACCAACACGTAGAAAAGAGATAGAAGATCTTTTGGATAAGTATAGTGTTAAATGTGATATTTCACCCAACTAGCCACTTTTTAGAAAGGGTAGAAAAGAGATAGGACTCTTGTTAGAGGGGGAAGAATTGTGAGTTTAATCCAGAAAACAGAGTGCTTGTGGGAGATGAGATTATGAGATGCAGTGAGAGTAAAGGAAAGAAAATAGGTGTAGTGTGCAAGAGAAGAGAGTTAACCACAAAAGTAATAAAGTTCCGGAAGACAGTGAAATGGGCTAAGATCCAGGTGGGATGCTATGTAGTGTTTGCAATTGTATGGAACAATAATTATTTATGATAATACTGGAACAACAATCATATGACAGAATCTATGTGATCTGAATAACAAGACTAGGATGTATATGGCCTAGAGTAGTGTGCTATGGGAACACAAGTAAAGTGAGAGAAGGAAAATTAAAAATACACTATGAAAGAGAGAACAAGGAAAACCAGTCACATAATGCAATTAAACAAACAAGTAAAATGAAGATGACTAAACAGAAAGAAGAGAAATAAAAAATACTAAGATAAAAGAAGTAAAAATAATGAAATAATAATAATAATACAAATAAACAATAACTTACAAATTCTCTGGAATAGTGAAGTGAAATTCATCTCAGTTTCTCAGTTGTTGGGATGATTCCTCATTGGGTCTGATTCTAGTCCTGTCACAGCTCCAGGTCTTATTGTCTTACTTGTGGGTGGGGGGTGGGGATGGCATTGGGGGGTGCTCGGGGAAGAAAGAAAAAAAAAAGCCTCCTCCTGGCTTTAAACTGGCCAGGCGAGTTCTGCTGGTCTTCCTGGGTGCAACAGGCTGTGGGGTTTGGGTTTTGCTTTTCTCCCTTCCTATAGTTTTGCAGAGATGAGGGCCAGGCCTGGGCCACACTCTTCACAGTTGCCCAGCCTCCTGCACAGTTCCTCAGTTCGCTGCTGGGCCCCCAATTCCCTTCTGCACCAGGCCTACACCTTCAGTCCACCCGTGGTGCTGTATTTGAGGTGCACCCACTAGAAGCAACTCACATACCACCTTCTCACTCTTTGCTGTCCTAGGTGCTAGGCACTCTCAAAGTCTCTTCAGGGTAGTTTGGCTCCCCCAGTGAGTTAAGTCTTTCTGGGGATTGCCAACTCCCTGAATCCTGCAGCTCTCCTCTGTAGCGGGGGTACATCCTCCTTCTTCTTAGTGAGCCAGTCGGCAGTGGCACTGCCTTGGTTGCGGTGGCAGGCATGAGTGTGCGGCCTCCACTTCTACTGTGGGGGTGGAGGCACATCCAAGTGGTGGCAGGGGTGGGTGTGGGTCCATGGCCTCCACTGCTGCCAGCCTCCACTGCTGCTGAGGTGGGGTTGGGCATGTGTTGCTTGGGTGGCTGCTGCGGGGTTGGTCATGCTGCTGGGGCCAACAGTGCAGGCAGGCGCCTTCTGCTGCTACAGCTGCTGGGAGGGTGGGGGCCTGGCTGGGGTTGTGGTGGCAGGGTGGGCCAGCTGCTGAGGCTCTGGTGGACAGGGGGCACAACTGGGGAGGTGGGGGCAGCCCCTGTGGGAAAATTCTCTGAACAGCCACAAGAGCCTTTTTATAAAACGAATTCTTCCTGTTCAATCCTGCTGCTATTAGTAAGTGCCCAGACTCTCTCACAGCCCAACTTTTCAAACAGACAGGAGACTATCCGAGTCAGAGTCTGTCATGACCCAACTCTTCTCCCTTCTCCAGCTGTCACCTGGCTCCATAATTTCTCTGGTAATGACCCAGCTGGCACCCACTGTCTCAGTGGGTGCACACCGCCTCTGTGCATTTGCTACTTTGTCTTTATTTCCCCCAGAGACTTCAAGCATCCAGGTCCCTCCTGGAGGTGCTCAGAACTTATTTGGCAGAGGAGGGAACCATTGACCCAGCTCTCTCCCAAGAATCATGTGGAAGACCTGGTGGGCACCGGGCCTGGGGCTGCAGCCATTCTGGTCCCTGCACTGGCCCCAGAGAGCTTATCATCTCAAAGCAATCTCCTTACTGTCTGATTTTTTAATGTCCTCCACAATTTTGGCCTTTAACCTTCATGTATGCTGTTTGTTGTTCACTCTGTTTCTCAGAAGATCGGCTACGTGTTCCACCTGTGCAAAGGGGAGAATGGACTCCATTCCCACATATCTCACCACCACCTTAGGATTTCTGTTGTTCCACTTTGTGCATTTATTGTGCACATTCCCAAAGGCAACCACTTTGTGCTTCTTGTATGTGCTCTGACTGCAGATTGAACCCCCAACTTTGGTGCATAAGGACGATGCTATAACTAACTGAGATACCCACCCAGGGCCCCAACATCATTTTTAACCCCATCTTACACCTACAGAAACTGATGTACAGAAAATTCAGAGAACTTATGTAGAACTTTTTAGTGAGGAAACTGGACTTAGGTCCTGGGTCTGTGGGACTTTCATGCCCAAGTTTTTAACTACTCTTACTGCTTCTGAGACCCTTATAGCAGCAGTTAAAATCTTGTAGTCCAGAATTTCCCTCTTCTTCATATTCTCTCTAGTGTGGCTATGTCTGCTTCCACAATGCCTTGTTGAGATATTGTGCTATCGGAGGGCAAGATGGTATGCTCAATCTTCCCACCAATGAACGATAATAAAGCTGCTGTCTTTAGGAAGATGAGGGCAAAGAAGACCCTAAAGCTTTGTAATCTCCTGTGTTAGATTAGTGCCTCTCATACACTGGTAAATATCAGCCCCCTCCATGTACTGTCACTTAAATCCAGACTTATTTTCTCCTCTTTCCTGGCAGGGACAACTACTTGTTCAACCAGCCTACCTGGGCCACTTGCCAAGAGCCTGAGCACATCGTGCTGTGGAATGTGGTCTTGTTCTCCATCCTCCTCGGGATCGGCATGATAGAAGCTGTGCTTTGCCTTAGCCAAGTTGTCAGTGGGCTCTGTGACGTCTACTGTGGTACCTGCATCCGGAAAGGACAGGTCAGTGCTTCTAGAACCCACAAATTTCCATGCCACTTTGCCCTGACCTGTTCCACATTGTCTCTCTCCTGCCCTAACCCCACATTCCCAAAGGCAAGCCAGTAACTAGGAAAGGCCTTCTGCAATGTGGAACTTCACTTGCCACTTTGGGTTTAATTTTCTTTCAGGTGAACATAACTGGCTTATGACTGGCCTAAGAAATTACAACTGATTGGCAGATGAAGGAGCGCTCCCCAGGTTTCAGAAGGACTGGATTTGATGAATGTCAATCTCCAGAGTCATGAGAAGCTGAGAAAAATGCCCTCAACTTTCTTACTGGAGTAGGTTTTTACAAAAGGACAACAATTTTGAAAACTTTATCAACTTTGCTAGAGTAAAGTCATAGGGATATACAATAGAAATAAAAAAAAATACAATAATAAATGCTTAAATGTATTCATTGGTTGTTATATTCCAGGCACTATGCTATGCACTTTAGCTACATTATTTCAGGTAATCCTATTAAGCAAGTGGCATTATAATATCACATTGCAGAGAGAGGTTCATTACTGAGCTGAAGTCAATGAATTTAAGTTTTGAATTTGAGCCTGATTCCAACATTTGTATTGTAGACCATACTCCAGTGGAGCTCAGAGTTTACTGCTTAGATACTAACTAGTTCCTCAGATTATAATAGGTGCTATTCATTTACCAAAAAAAGGGGGAGTGGTGACTCTGTGGTGAAATTAATTTGAGGTACACTGAATTAAATAAAGTTTAATAGGTTTCTCCACACAGGAGTTTTCAGAACCTTTACAAAGCCAGTGTGCATTACTAATCTCCAGGAAGAGAATAGCAAATGCATAATTTCCTTATTTGACCACAAAGCCTTTGCTCCTGAATCAGTTTTTATGGGGCCAATATTCCATGAAGTACACTTTGAGAAACAGTGCATGACTCCATGATGAAATAAAATCTACTTTACTTAACCCATGAGAACCCAAGAGATTTTTTACAAACTACCAGAGAAGCAGAAAAATATGGGGTAAAACTTGTTAAAGACTACTCACCTGTGGTTAGTTTTTTTTTTTCTTTTTTTCAGTTTCATGTAATGGCAAAAAGCAGAAGTTTCTTTTCAGGCTTCTTTACTGACACTACAAGAAACATTTTTGAGAACTCAGTATCTACCATACAAGCTATGGCTGTTCCCCCAAAGGCATTAGACAGAGTCTCTGGTTTGGGAAGCTTGCAAACTGATGGATCCTGCATAGCTGATAGCTTGCATAGATGATATTCAGGGTCCCTATTAGCCTGTATTGTGCCTTTGTACAAATCAGAGGAAAGCAGAGGATATAGCCTGGAAAGCAGACAGAACCAATGGCAAATTTCTAAAAAGTCCCTTATCCTCCAGATTAATGCAGACTTACTGAGTTGAGTAATGTCTCCCCAAAATTTATATTTAACAAGAACTACAGAATGTGACCTAATTTAAAAATAGTCTTTTTAGAGATGTAGTTAGTTAAAATGGGGTCATACTGGATTAGAGTAGACCCTAAATCCAATATGATCAGTGTCCTTCTAGGAAGAGAAGGAACACACACAGCGAGAACATGTGAAGATTGAGGCAGGGATTGAAGTTACCACAAACCTAGGAATGCCAAAGATTGCTGGCAACCACCAGGAACTATTAGAGAATCAATCACGGAACAGATTCTGCCTCTGATCCCCCGAACCCAGCCAACATCTTGATTTCAGACTTTGAGGCTCCAGAACCGCATGAGAATAAATTTCTGTTGTTTTAAGCCACCCAATGGGTAGTAGTTTGTTAAGCAGCTTTAGGAGATTCATAGACAGTCCCATAACAGGATATAAAGGAGCAGACCCTGCCACCTTGTTCCCCCACCACATATTCTTCTGGACATGCTGCCCTGTGCAGATATAACCTACTCAAATTAACAGTGTGTCCCTGCTTGTACCACAAATGCCCAAGTGCCCTGCTAACCCAGGCTGTTTCTTCAGCTTCTTTTCAGCTCTCCCACTGACATGAAGCCAGACACACACACACTCCAGACAAGGCGAGAGATGGACTAATTGCTTGACATTAAGCCCAGCACTGCATTAACTCAGCCCTGACAATGCCATGAGCTTGTCACCCCTCTGAGTGTACTAGGTGAAGGGAGGGGAAGTATTTAGGACAGTCAGTCCACCAGACAGAATGGCTGTATATGGCCCAAATACTGTTTCCTTTGGAATAAAAAAAAAATCTGAAGCAAAAGATTTTATTAGCTATTTGCCATTAAAACACTCTCGATGTTAAGTGATAGATTTGAAGCAAGAGAAGAGAGAGGATTTCAGCCTCTGGCAAAAAGTCCCTCTTGTGGTGCTTCCTGTGGTGAGTAAATTGAACTCACTGTTAAAGACACCAAAGTATAAATATTCTGTGGGCAACAAAGTAGGTGGAGAAGGCACTGAGCTGCCCTTGAGTAGGAACCCCACTCCTGAGGCAGGCAAGACACTTGGGGCTTAGCTAATGCTCAATCAAGGGTTTTGGAGGCTGGAAGAGCACCATTAACATTTGAAATGTAGAGCAAACCATAAAATGATTAATAATTAATCCACTAAAAGGGTGTTTATTGTAGATTTCTGGTCAAGATGGGGTCATAGGTCTCACCCCTTTGCACAATCACATCATAATTACAACTAAAATATAGAACAACCATCACTCAAAACCATCAGAAATCAGGTACCCTACAGGACATGTACTATAGTAGGTCACGCTACCAAGATAGGACATCATAGCAGTTCTACCCAATACATAGAAACAAACATAGGGATGCTGCCAAATTGAGGAGACAAAGAAACATGACCCAAATGAAAGGACAGATCAAAACTCCAGAAAAAGAACTAAACAAAATGGGGATAAGCAATCTATCAGGTGCAGAATTCAAAACACTGGTTATAAGGATGCTCATGGAACTTAGTAAGGACCACAACAGCATAAAAAAGATTCAGTCAGAAACAAAATATACACTAATTGAAATTCAGAACAATTTATAGGGAAACAACAATTAAATAGATGAAGCTGAAAATCAAATCAATGATTTGAAACATAAGGAAGCAAAAACAATTGATTGGAACAAGAAGAGCAAAGAATCCCTCTCCCCACCAAAAAAAAAAAAAAAAAAAAAAAAAGAGGAGAGTGTAAGCAGCCTCTGGGAAAATCTTAAGCATTCCAGCATTTGCATCATAAGGGTGCCAGAAGAATAAGACAAAGAGCAAGAAATTGAAAATCTATTTGAAAAATAATAAAAGAAGACTTTCCTAATTTGGTGAAGGAAATAGACATGCAAGTCCAGGAAGCACAGAAAGTCCCAAACAAGATGGATGCAAAGAGGCCCACTCCAAAACAAATCAACTGAAATGCCAAAGTTTAGGGGTGGGGGGAAAAGGCAGAAAACTGTATTTGAACAACAATAAAAATGTTAAAAAATTAAAAATATACATAAAATACAAAAAAGAAGAAATGACAAAGTTTAAAGATAAAGAGATAATTTTAAAAGCAAGAGAAAATAAGTTAGTTACATATAGGGGAGTTCCCATAACACTGTCAGCTGATTTCTCAAAAGAAAGTTTGCAGGCTAAAAGGAATTGGCAAAAATATTCAAATTGATGAAAAGCAGTTATCTACAGCCAAGATTGCCCTACTCAGCAAAGCTATTGTGTAGAATTGAAGGACAGATAAAGAATTTCCCAGAAAAGAAAAACTAAAGGAGTTCATCATCACCAAACGATTATTATGTGAAATGTTAAAGGGACTTATTTAAGAAAAACAGGAAGATCAAAACTATGGACATAAAATGACAATAAATCAACAATTAAATCTACAAAACAAACTAAGCAAACCAGAGCAGAGACAGAATCATGGATACAGCAAGCATTTTGTTGGTTGCCAGATTGGTGGTAATTTTAGGAGAATGGGTCAGAGGTGAGGTGAATAAGAAGTACAAATAGGTAGTTACAGAATACCTATGGGGATATAAAATTCAGTATGGGAAATAGAGTAACCAAAGAACTTATACCATGGCCCATACACATGAACAATGGTGTGGGGATTGCTTGAGGAAGTGAGGGATATTGGGTGGAGGGGGACAAAAAGGAAAAAATTGGGATAGCTATAATAGTATAATCAACAAAATATAATTAAAAAGAGTTTTTATTGTCAAGTAGAAGAAACCTCTCTGAAATTAAGGATAAACTGTTGATTTTTAAGGCTGGCTTTGGTCTACTTTTAGGCTACATGAAAAGAATTTGTTGAGTTTTTGAAAAGTGCAAAGCAGAAGTGTCTAGAGAAAGGAGGGTTAAAGTGTCCTGCGAGTAGGGTTTAAGCAAAGGGGGAAATCTCAGTGTGCAACCACCCAACTGTAAGGCAGAAATGGGGGAGGTGATCATTTTTACTTCAATCTCTGTGTCTTCAAGCACATCTCATATTTCTAAATCCATGAATCGCTCAAGGAAAACTACATGTTTTCCAGACCAGACTTGACTGAGATTTTTTTTCTCAAAACTCATATTCTAGATATCAAAAATTGTTTTTAACTGCAGGATACAAGTGCTTATATAATATGATATACATGTTATTAAAAATATGGATAAAATAGCTCTCCTTAGTGAGTTTAGAAAGTCTTTCCATTTTACTCCTTACTTTGCTATCATTTAGCAATTTTCATCTTTTCCAGAATAAGAAAGAATGACTTGTGTAATTATAAATATATATGAAAAATTTAGAATTTATAATTTTACAAAAACCATGTAGATGACTCATCTGTTTACCACATCTGGTGAAATGCTCCTTCAGGTTTACACCAGCTTGAGAGAAACTTCATGGTTCACTGCCAAATCAGCACCCAGTATTTTTCCTAAGCTTAATGGGGGGAAAGTAATTTTAAAGGGGGAGATGTTTTAAAAATATTGGGAGAAGAAAATGAAGCTTACCAAAGAACTCTGAAAAAATTGCAAAAAGTTGTTTTGATTACAAATTAAATTAGTAAGACTAAAGACAAGACAATTGTACATAAATACTGTATTCTAAAGTTGTTTCTTAGAGGGGTATGAGTCTGAAACTGTGAGCCTGCTAAGACTGTATAGATGGTGGGACCCAGCTTTCTCACTGTCGAAGGAAGAAGTTACAGATAAGCAAACAGAGAAGGCTAGAATGATCCATATGGTAATGAATCAGAGTCAAAAGCATCAGTATAAATCATGTTTGGCTTAATACATATACAGGTAGTTACAATGCAGAAACACAGATATGTGTGTATGCATGGGTTGTTATACATACATATACTCATAGT